AAAAAAAAAAAAACAAAGCAAAAAGAGGCTTGCAACTTTAACACAAACTTTTTTTGTCTCTAATTTTGGAGGCAGTAAATACAGTGGTTTTAAAATGAAGAGCTGTCATCTTTGTGCAAGAAAGTTACTATCCCGAGTTGCTGGCAAACTGACTTAAAGAGAAAGGACTGGAAGGAAGTTGTAGATTAGAATTTTTGTAATTGAGGCTTACATAGTTTTACTATGGGAACTGTGCTGTTTCAGGTCTCAGAGACAGGATCCATTGAGGAACTGATGGAGACAGCTTAGTTCTGTCAAACTTGCAGGATGGAAGGAAAGAAAAGCTATCATGAGTGGGGCCTGGGGAAAGCTGGTAGGTTATGCATTATTTCCACATCAAATCAATCATTTTCTTTTCTTGCCTTTTTTTTTTCCTTGCAGCAGTATTTTTAGTATCTATAGCCATACCATTTTGTACCATTCTCTCAAGCTAAAACTGTACGGCCTCAGCAGCACTGAGATGGGTTGCCATTACCTATCATAGGATGTGACTTTACAGGTCCACGTGTGGCTCTTCTTCCCCTACAAATTCTAAATGGAGTTAATGTTACAATATGCTGGTAAGGAGGCTGCAGGAAGAGCTGCTTTTGGAAATAAAGCATTGCCACACCAGTGAGGACCTTATAGTTCTCACTGAATTTTTTGCAAAAGAGAAATTAACCAGATGTGAATTTCCCCATATTCCAATTTGACTGATTAATCTGACACTGCAAGTAAACAACAGTAGTATCATAGCCATGATGGTTAGTAATAGTAGTATCACAGACTGTGAGAGAAGCAAGACTTATGTGGTAACATCTGTTTCTTAGATCAACTATACTGTTGGGAGAGTTGTTACACAAGCTTTGGGACACAAAATACCCTTCAAGTCACCTCAGTGACCTTTTGGTGCTCAAAAGCTTTTTTAACATTTCTCTTAACTAGAAGCAAGGAAAGAAGAAAGAACCCCTCTTGCGGCTAAATTAGAGCGCCTCTTTTAGGCTTACATTTTGGCACTGTGTGCCTTCACCCCCTGCACTGGACAGTCAGACTATAACACAAAAAACTCAAATGTACTGTGCAAGGAAAAAGCAAACAGCCTTCACAAAATTCTTATTCTTCCCTTTTAACTAGTGTACAACAACAGTATGCTGCTGAATGTGTTTAGTGTTTTATTTAAGAAGTTCATGCGCTGATGAATCCTGTAAGAGGGCAGCATAGTACAACAATTTACCCTACTAGACTGTAGACTGCAGTTTAATGCAAAAAGAAGAGAGTAAGTTTTCATCTACAAATGAACAGATGGTAACTTTTCCACAATTCAGTAGAATCCTTAAATAGTGCCAGGAAAAAAAAACAAATTGAAGTTTACTAACTGCATAGCAGGCAGTGCATTGGAGAGCAATGGTCAAGCCCTATGTTTTAGGCTCTGGCCTTGCAAATACTCCTGCATGTAACATATTCCTGGGGTTTGCTGCCTGCAGAATCAGAGCTTCAGAGGAGGTTGCACAATCTGCTCAGGCCCTCTGATAAGGAAAAAAAAAATATCTCTGCCTTGCAGAGAGGAAACCTCCTGCTGATTTGTGGCAATGGGTATGTTTCCTTTTAGTCCCTTCCTCCTGTGCTAGAAGTGCTTAAGTGTCCACTAGCAGTGCATGCTTAAGAGAGCACCATTCATTCTTTGAGACAAAAACCTTCCTGAAAGAAAGGCCTTCTGGCAATTTAAAACTGGGGAGAGGACACCACTTGGCAGAACAGAAAATATCTGCTGTTATTTGGAAAAGGCAAACAGTTTTTGTGTTTGATGTTTTGAATGAGGCAGACACTCCCTGATTTAAAATGAACTGTTGGTGCTCCAGAACAGACATCCTGCACCCTGCCACTGGAGAGCAGCCAGATTGCAGGCTTTGTTGTTTTTGTAAGGGATCATTTAGAAACAGTCTGAAGTACTGAAACTTTTAAACATGACCTTGTTTCAACAGATACATCTGGTGTGTTGACTGGAAAGGCTAAGGAACTTGAATTTTTACTGAAAGACTACTAAAAAGAAATATATCACTGATTGTATGCAAATAAACATGCACAGAGCTCATTATATAAGACCTGCAATGTAAAACAAAACCCTTTGCGTTACATAAATATAGCAAGTGTAGACCAAAATTTGCACCAAAAGTAGAAAACAAACTGATACCAACAACACTTTAGAGTGCATAAATACAACTAAGGTCTTTTAATAGGATCAGAACATAACATTAACAGAAATATTTCCAGAGTTTTTAATATACTAAAAAGTTAATAGCTTTTGATAAAACCAAATGAGTGACTGATCATGCTAAATGATCTGTTTTTCTGATCTATGGTAACCTCTGGTTTTGACTATAATGACAGAGGGTGTTTGTGAACATATTTGCTCCCATAGGGAGTTTCAGCACAATAAGACCACACTGGGAATATTGGCATATCACACATTGTGCCTAAAACTATATGCTAATAAAAGGAAATATAATAAAAGCAAACAGGAAGGAAAAATATTCAATTCATTTGTTTCTAATGGTATGTAGTCACAAAATATAGCACTTCCAGGTAACACGTTATTAAGAACCAACCAGGAGATCCATAAGCTAAAGAGCAGAACTATAACACATGACTGGCTTGTTTCTTTTTACCTTCTGTGCCTATAATGCATGACTTCAGACCTGCTCCCAATTAACTCAGCGGGGCTGGAACAAGCTCTAGCAACTATCCTGATTGTTTTTATCATTCCATGACTGGATGGGATGCTAAATCACATACAGTTATCCATTTACTAACAGTAAAATGGATGACCCACTGCTGGATGCTAAGGGAGCATAACACCAATTACAACCAGGATGTGCCTCAGTAATTTTTAATTCTGGCAGTGCCGCTGCCTTCACACACGGCTGAGAATCAGTTTATATGTGCCTGTCCTTCCAAGGAAAGGGTGAATAACCAGGTCTCCCATATCCTCTGTGTGTTTGCAACAGGAACTCCTATTACAGCAAAAGTGTTATAAACAGCACAATATATTAGGAAGCTGCAAGGCCTAGGGTATTTATTCGAGTCCAAGACAAGATCCATTTAACATGGAAATTGAGTATGAGAGGTGGGGGGCAGGTGGCTGCTGCAGGACCAGGCTGGGACTGTGGTCTGTGCCCCTGGTGGGAGCCATGCCAGAGCCAAGGGTAAGCAGCAATGGGGAATTTGAGGGGGGAGGGGACAAGCAGGGCAGCAGAGGATACCAGGGCTAGAGATGTATGGGGAGGCAGGGCGGAAATCAGCAGAAGGAGGGGCGAGAGGCAGCGGCGGGAGGGCGGTGTCAAGCTGCCTGCTCTCCCCCACGCTTGCCCCCTACCACTGCCTTCCCCAGAGCCTCTCCCCTACCCCCTGCCCCTGCCTTCCCTGGTGCAGTGATGAGGGAGAGAGCGTGAATTTAAGACAACCCTCCAATAATTAGATTCTATCCATGGAAAATCATAACCAATTTATAAAATTTTCCATGGACAGAATTGAATTATTGGGGGACTCAACTTAAAGCAAGACAGACTATTAGTTCCGTAGTTCTCAACCTTTTCACACTTAAGGCACTGTAACAGGGGGCCTTCTCAGAACAGATCTGTCTTTGGCTTGCTCACCTGTTTCTGGGCTAACCACACGCCTTCTCGCCCACCATGCCTTGATGTTAATTAATTGTTGTTAATTAAGTGGGAGGCTGCCCATTTCCTTGCCCCAATGCCAGGGTGCGCTATCTGCAGCTCTGTACCTGCCCTACACCGCAGCCCATGCTTTGCAGATGGCATCCACTGTTCTTGTTGGCACTGGCCCCCACACTGAGCCCCAGAATCCTCCAATCAGGAGGATCCCTCCATTCAGGCAGCCTACCCTGCCCTCATTCAGGGCTGCCTAGCTCCCTGAATCATCTCCCCTCTCGGGCGCGGTCCCCTCGGGACCTTTGTCCACACAGGCCCTGGCCTCGCCTCCAAGGCCAGTCAGAACCCCAGGCCCTCAGCTCCGGGTGTCCCTCACAGTGGGCTCCTGGCCCTTTTGACTGGTCTGGTCCTGGCCCCAGCATTGACCAGTCGAGGGTACTCTAAAAATCAAGCCTCCAAGCCTCTAGCCCCACTCTCGTTCCTGGGTCTGCCTTCTGGCCCTAGTAGCAGGTGACCCACCTGGTTGTGGGGGCTGGGGTTAAGGTACCCCAAACCACCTTTCACCAGGGTGGTAACTGGCCTGGCATTTCCTGGAGGTTCCACCAGGAAATGCCCCACCAAGGCCACTGAGAGCCCCGCCAGGCCACCCACTCTCAGCAGGGTGCAGTTTTAGGTTGTGCCCAGGACCAGGAGCCTCCTGACCATCCGCTACAACTCCTCCCTTACCTCCAGTGTGTTCCATGAAGACTTGCTGCCAGGTGATGTTGCTGTGCCTCCAGCCAGCTGCAAAATGCCCTGTTTATATGGGTGGCCAGAGCTCTAAAATGGCCGCCACAGTTAAGCACCTGCTGGCTGCTTGGCCCCAGGTCTTAAAGTGGCAGGCACAAACAGTGCCCTGCCACATGCACCCTTGTTAGACTCAAGACACCCTCAGATAATGCCAACTCTTAATTTTCACTCATGTTTTTGACTACAGGAAAAGAACAGAGTAATTCTTCTGTTGCAAAGAACTCAAAGACCACAACAGTGGCTTTTAACACTATGGATTCCTATTTGAAACCTCTGGGTTTATCTTGTGAATCATGTGTTTACACCTAGCAGTGCTAATGGTGCTATCAAGTATCATACTCTAACACCATCATTAAAAGGATCTCAGGGCATCCCAGGGTGCTGTGGTACCCTCATTGACAGTCACTCCATTAATTAAATGCTTCAATTCCTAGCAAAGAATGTTCAGAAGAAAAACCAAGAAAGGGTCTATTTATTTTAAGTATACTTGGCATTCCTCTTACCTTTGTCTTCTTTCCTTTCTCTTAGTTTTCTCAATTGCTTCAATAGTTTCTTTTGGAATGGTCTCTGTTATATCACACAGCTCCTCAACCCGATTTTCTATTTGTCTCAGCCTACTTAATCTACATTTTTCTTGGTAACCAGGTATTCATTTTATTGTCAT